CCCGAACCCAGTCGTATATGTAAATGAACATTAGTTAATTTGCATACATGGATTTTTTGACAAACGGCCGCTGGAGCAATTTGCATTTTTTCAAAAAATTTGCACTTTTCATTTTTCACAAAGCGAGCATTTACCGAAAAAGCGATCGGTCTTCATGCAGAAAACCGGTAAACATGCACTTGGTTGTCCGTGCGGCTCTATAATGCACCACCTTTATCCCAACTGAGGCCCTTCCTCCTGTATGCCGGAAAGGATCAAAGCTCGGCCGATATGAGCCCAAGTGTTGGGCTACAGCGTAGGGATCACTGCTGCTAATTGCGATCTGCGAGTTTAGTGCCAAAACGCATGTTCGCACCAGAGAGCCTGATGCGTTCCACCCTGGGTTTGTTTAGTGATCTTTCCTCGATTTTGCTGCTTTTAGGAGTTTTTTTTTTTTTTTTTGAGTCCCTCTTATCAGAAATACCAAGACAGTTTGAATAGTAGGTGCGGTCATCCCATTAGTGATATTACTTGGATGCTTAGGGAGTCAAAAGTCAAAATCTCCTCCATATTCACCCTCCACAAAGAAATCGAAGAATTGAAAAGTAGCGCGAGAGAGTACGTGGCAGAAGCAATCTGGCAAAGCTGTTGGTGGTTCTTTTTTTCAAAGGCTTTCTTGAAGCTGCGTCAGGTTCTTCGATCCTGAGCTGTAAAAAAAGAAAGCAATAAATGCATTTAGTACCACTATGCTGAAGAAGTGTTCAGCTTTGACGTAGCCGCACGATAAAAATAAAACGCAAGTCGCAGTTGAATCTTTAAATTAACTTTAACTTTTTCAACGAAATAAAAAAAAATGAAACGAAGTGTATCGCTCTCAAAAGCTATCCTCCAAAAAAGTTGTGCTGACTTGCCACCATGCTTCATAACTATTGCAAGGGAATTTTTCAACAGTTTTCCAGTTCATTTCAATAGGAAAATGGTGCCAGTTTGTCACTAATTTATATTTCCTATCGTTAGAAAAATGAGCCACTGCAAGATTTGCATTTAGTCAGAGCTTATGTTTCTGTCTCGTGAGAAAAACAAAGTGTAGGAAAAATTTAGTGCTTCACTGAAATCTTTCCCAAAGAGTTTGGGCGCAAAATTGAATGAAATGGTAAGAGTTTGGATTCATTATCGTCTTAATTTCTTTCTCAGGGTTTGGATACCAGTTTGAAAGAAAATTGTGCAAATTTGATTTCCTTGTCGCCTTAAATCATAAATTTTGTACAGAAAAGATGGGAAATGAGTATGTGCTAGGCATGATTCTCGTAGGCCTGGTCTAAGTGTATTCGGCGTATGATTGTGAATGCATTTTAGTAACATCATCAACATCATCGGGTCTCTATAACAGCTACCTGTTCAAATTTCTTGGTCCTGGTAAGCAGTAGCAAATGAAAAAGTGGTACACTTATACTGGAGCATAATACACTCGGTGAAGAACTATTTTGGGATGAAAGAGACAAATTGACTTTTTTGCCGACCGCTAATATATCAGGTTGAAATACTCAGCTCGCCCTTGTCCTCGCTCCTACGCCCCGCCTCTTACCATCCCAACTGTTAAATTGGAAAATAGCTGGAGAAAAAAAACCTGCTGAAGGCCTTTTCGTTCTTGTGTGAGTTGTTTCGATGACGTTTGACTTACCCTTCTACTGCTACCACCAATGTTCTGCGCATCTGGATATCTTCTGGAGACTGTCAAATTTCGCACGCTTCTTATACAAGTCGCTATATTCACAGCCGTAAGCTTTTCATATAGCCAGAGGGTGAAATAGTAAAAACTTCCAACGTTGAACGTTTTTACACCTGTTACATCTAAAAATCAGGTTTGTGACCACTTCAAGGCACTGTCATCTCGCCTTTCTTTTTTCTCCTAATTAGCACTTTTCTTCTTGTCCCCAAACGTAATCTTTGCTTTTTGTAGAGGAAACTTAGCCTTTGCTTCCCGCTACTCCCCTGTCACAAGTAATTCGGCTTTTCACTTCAATTCATGACGCATTCCCATTTTAATTGATGTAGAACTGACAAAACCAATCTGAAATTTTTAGCATCGTCGGGTACAAAGTCGATGTTGTCCGTGTTACTGAAATAGTCCTGCACGCAGGGCACAGTTATTTGCTACGGAACGTAGTGCCTGTACAAAAAGCCTTCGGATAGTAGCTATACTGAAAATATAAAAAATCCGAGCATTTTAGCAAATAACAATTCGTGGAGCGCAAGTGAGTGATGGAGGCAAGTACACATGCAAGGCGCAGAATGAAGCAGGCTCCGCGGATATTGATCTGTCCTTGAAAGTACTGATACCGCCCAGTATTGACACATCTAATATTATTGGAAACCCGCTGGCTGTTGCAGGAAGGTTTGCAGTTTTAAATTTTTTAAATTGGTTTAGTTGTACTTCACAGACTGGTTCCTATACTATGCAGCTAGCAACTTTTCCAGGTGCTTTGACCAGTGCTGTACCTCCTGTTGCTCAAACTATTGGCAGTCCTGAAATCCTTCTCGTTCTTTGCGGAATTACCAGCTTGCGGTCCTACTGGCAGAAGCGCGTGTCAAAGCTGGTAACCCTTACGAGGTGCTCTTGGTTAAGCGTCAGCATTTCACCCTTAATGTTCTTACGTCTGGGCTGCGTTACTGACTTGTATTTTTATAAATCTGCAATTGCTTTTTGAAAATTTTATTAATTGTCGGTTATTTTTCACGGCTGAAGCGGCGAAAAAAACGCTCCTGCTGCGGTGGAAAATTGTTAAAAGTGGCGTTACCGGAATCCATCAAATGTGCTGTTTGTTTTCTCAGCTGTCGCAATAAATTCACCAGTGAATTGTTCCAATTTGTCAAAATTAATTAGGATTTTTTGCTTTCGCAGACTCTCACATTTTCATAAAACCATTTTTTTTATTCGCCCGCTCCTTTTGCTTAGTCTCTTACCGTCAGTTTTGTGGTGTTGAAGCTTTTTTTTTTAAATTTCCACTTTCCAGATTTTTTGAATTTTTCCTTTTTTAAGAAAAATGCATCAGAAAAAATGCGTTTTATTCTTGCGTGCTTTTCAAAATAGCTTGTACACACCTGGGCAACAAAGACCGCCTAGGCAATCAGTATAGGGTTAAACGTAACTGATGTTTACTGGGATACCCCCAAACGCCAAGAACGGCTACACTAGTCGTCTTATGAATTTCTTACTTATTTCTTGTAAGCTTCTATACTGTGAAAAAGACTCGGATCGCGATTGTGATTCAAGAGCGACAAAATTTTTTGGAATTTTTTACATGAATTGTCATAAACTTTTCTATTTTTGCAGATCGATATATTTAGAATGCCCCGTTGCCGGAATACCCCAGCCGTCAGTTATCTGGCACAAAAATGATGTACCAATATCGTCTGAGGACAATCGCATTGTTCTTGATCAGGTTGTACTAAATGCTTACGTTCATTGATATCTTGGTCGTAAAGAGAGATTTGTGTTTTAATGCTACGGGAAAAATCTTTTACTCCTTGAAGAAAACCTCTTTAGATTTTTGCATATGATGCCTCTTATTTCCAGAACAATCAAACACTGGTTATCAAGGATGTGCGTGTGAGTGACCAAGGCCGGTATTTTTGTGTCGCTGAAAATAAAGGCGGGCGAGCAGAGCAGAGTTTCAATTTGGAAGTTTTGAGTCCGTTTTTATGCGTTTTTGCTGCGAGACGCATATTATCAAGAGGTTTGCGGTATATGTGTGTATGTTTGTGGACGAGTGAACTTTGTTATTCACTTTCAACTTAGCAACCATCCCTACTGCTAGCGGAAAAACGCATGGTCGTATCGGGCAAGCCTGGGGCGTTGTAGCTTAGTTTAAAGAAATTTTTAACTTCCATAATAAAAGGTTTAATAAGCTTTTGTTGCAAATTTTGTTCGTATGTACAGCAAAAAATGATTAATTTTAAGTGCGTTACTAAATGGGCCGTGTCTGTTTCTTGATTTTTATGCGTTTTTGCCGTGCAGCGCTAGAGCGCTGCAACAGGCAGCAAAAACGCATATTG